TCACAAGAAAATATTAAGGCAAGAACTACTGCAACTGTGAAAAAATTGAACGATGAGCCATTGCAACTGTGCCGTGCACGCGCAAAACTCAAGACGTACGATGCACTCAAGCAAATCCCCGCGTTCGTGCTTCTGCCCGAGGCTTCAGTCCAAGCCGCCGATGGCCGGATTCTCGAGGAGGTATACCAGCAGGAGGCAGCCTGGATAACACAGAAGCACCCCCCAGGCCATGAGGCGAGATTGGTAGTCCTTGAGCATTGCCACACCTCCGATGAGCCACTGGACGAACATGATCGCGATAGTCTCTGCGGTGAACTGCCAGGCAAGGCCTTGGAAATAGCACAATGCCAGGAAGATTCCTAAACAGAACGTGTTGTTCATGCACGCGGCGCCAAGTAGCGAGGACAGCGAGTTCGTGATGGAAGACGGGGTCTTCTTGGAGGCGTAGGAATACGCCGCCAGCAGCTCGCTCGCGTTTGACGCGAAGGGAGCCAGGACGAAGGACACGTAAAAGTTCGGAACGCCAGTACGTACACCCCACTCGGAGAGCACGTCCACCATAGGGTCGGAAAACAGGAGCACCAGCAGGGTTCCGACCCCCATGAAGTAACAGGCGCGCATCTTGACCTTTCTCTGCTGCGTGGACCAATCGTCGTTCCTCAGGTCGTCCGGCATGGGGTCCTCCTCGTCCTCTGGCTCTTCAGCAGGCGACGCCTGGTACTTGGCTTGCACGTCGTCCCTCTTCATGTAGTTCTCCACGAAGTTGCTGAACTCCTGGAAATTCAGTTCCTGGTCGTTGTTATTGTCGAACCTCTTGATCTCGTCAGTCGCTTTCGACGCATCGAAGCCCAAATCCCTGATCAGCAAGTTCAACTCGCACATCTCGATTGTGCCGTAGGGCGGAAAGCGGTCATACTCCTTGAAGAACGACCTCAAGACCGGCTCCATGATTTTATCTTTCGCCAGCAGCGGCTCATCCCCGCCGCCGCCCTGTCCGCGGAACCGGTCCACGGTGAACTGCCAGAGGGCCTTTGCGTCGAACTTCCCCGCCTTGATCATCTTCAGGATCTGGTCGACCTCCTTGTCGACCTTCGACTGCTTGTAGCAATAGAATATGTAGCCCGCGAAGGCGCACACCGAGCTCACCAGGCCAACGAAGGCCCATATGCTCTCAGCTCCCGCCTGCTTCTCGGCCTCCCTGTTGTCCACATACTGCTCCTCCAGCGTGGCCGGTATCTGGATGATCACGTAAAGCATGGTGGTAGCAATCATTATCTTTGCGGTCTCCTTTGGGGATACCAAAGGTTCAAGTACCGCCACTCCCCAGGCCTCTCCCAGGTGCGTTCTGACCGGAACTTCGGTGCGAATCCAGCGGGGGCGACGAGGGCCTCCCAGGAAGCCCAGAAAGGCAAAAACGAGAAAGGGTAGCGGTATGGGTACCTCTACCTCCTCTGGTCCTTTATCTGGCTGTCGACCCTAACACCGCTGCTGCTCAGCCCGCGGGTGCCAGCGGCCCGGCTCTTGTAGTCCGCCTGCCCATCCTTTATGGGCACCGACCCGGCGTAGATCGCGATGAACCACGGGAAGGTCAGGAGCATCACGGTGCTGCCGGCCAGAGCGCCCATGCCCACGCTCACCTGCTCCTGGGCCTGCGCCCGCTCCTGACCAGCCTCGAATGTATCCCTACCCCTGACATCAACAAGCCCCAAGGCGATGACCATCCTGGGGATGTGCCTTCAGAAACCGAGGGAATCCGTAAGATGGGCATCGCGATGAGACGATGCCAATCATAGGGATAAGGACATGTTTCAGGCTGGTGAGCTCCCCCATGCCAGAGAAGAGCACCATCATGCCGTCGGGCACAGCGCCAAGAATCGGGAGCACCACGCTCCCCACCAGCCCCGCGATGGACGGCACCACCAGCAGCAGCTCGGAGCCCTCGGCGATCATCCCCGAGGCCGAGTACAGCACCAAGCCGTACACGACGGTCAAGAAGACTAGCTGCCCGAGGTTGCAGGACCCCGGCTCGACCCACGGGGGCCACACTGCGCTGCTCCGCTCCCCGAGCCCGCTGCCCTCCGCCACCTCCTCGGGCCCCTCCTGTTGTCGAGGGCTTAACGACTTCTGCTGCTGTCGCTCGACTCGCGCTGGAGCTCCCACGACCTCCTCCAGGTTTACCCGGATGCCCCTGGATGTGCCGAGCCTTCTGTGGACTCGCCCCGATCTGTCTGGATCTGCCTCGATCAACCTCGACCACCCTGGCTCGATCCCGCGGGCCCACTGGAGAGAAGCCATCAAGCTCCTGTGGAGCCTGCGAGCCCGCTCCCTCCGGCCCTGGCGCGCCCACGCCGCCCGCGCGGGCGCTGCCCGCGCGGAGGGCGGCGGGGTTGGACGCCCCCGCGGCGGCCACCAGTACGAGCGAGAGGGCGACTGGCCGCCACGCCGCCATCTTCGCGAGGGTCGCCGCTGCGACGAGCGCGGGCCGCGCGGCAGCCCGCCGCTCAGGGTGGGCGGCGAAAGGGTGGTAGGCCGCGCTGCCAGCGGGCCGCGCGGCCTTGAGCCACAATGGCTGCGAACACCACACTGCTTGCATGAACCAGAGGGCCAGCGTGAACAACGATGCCCGTGTACACCGCGCTGCTTGCGTACACCACAACGACTCTGTACACAACCACGCTTGAGTGCACCAGTGACGGTGTACACCACGACGCCTCCTGTTTCTGGCCTTCGAGCTCGCGCGCAAATCCCGCGACCTCGTCGGGGCAACTCTGACGAGCGCGCCAAATGTTCTCTCCATCTGCGCCATGACAAACCCGCTGTCACGCCCAAGCCTTCTCGTGCGATAGCGCTGGCGCTCGTCGTTCTCTGGCCGGGGCACGGGGCCGCTCTGGCGGCGGCCCTGCTTGCCTGAATAGCGCCGCGCCCGTGAAACCACAGCGCCCAGACGCTTTGCAGAGATCAGGAGCGATTCGTCGCAATTTTCTTCTGTAAAGTCGGCGGCGACCTTGAAACGCGCCGCGACGCCTGCGCCGGGGGCGGTGCGCCCGGCTTTGGCAGCATCCGCGATTGCTCAGGCGGCCCAGTGCCAATGAAACGCCCTGAAACGCCGGAATGGCTGCAGCGCTCGGGCGGATGGGAATTCGCGAGAAATGCGCCGTCAATGGCGCCGGGCGTGAAACTACAAGGGCTGCCCCTGCACCTTCTCCTCATCACATCATCATTACCCTCCTCCCCCTGTTCCACCCCATGCTTTTCATCGCCATCTCCTTCTCCTCCTGTCCCATTCCAGGATGTCCTGAAAGGTGGCGGCCGCTCTCTGGTTGCTTCGCGCGCCTCCCCAGCAGCATTCCCTTCGCAACCCTGGCGGCGGGACATTCGGCAGACAGCAGCCAGCAAGAAACGCAAACGCAGCCCCATCCAAGTTAGGGCATCATGCGAACTGGCAACCCCGAAAAACTTGGCAGCACACGCCTGGCAGCCATCGCGGCGGGTCGCAATCGTTGCCGTCGGCGTTGTTCTCGGCATCGGGTGGGCTCGCGTCCTCGGGCTCGTCCTCCTCGATCGGATCGACCTCCTCTCAAGTGCGGACGATGCGGGGCTTCGCGTCCCTTGGCCTTATGATGGCGTGGCTTTGGTAAGTCGCCGTGACCGTGCGGAACAGATCGCGACTGCGCCTGCGGAGGTTCACTTTTCTTTCAAGGCGCCCACGTTGGTGTCGGCCCATAAAAATTTGTTGGGCGGCCAAAAATTGACGCCGTGAGGACGGAGGTCATCAATGTCTTCCTCATCAAAGAAATGTGACGCCGTTGGTTTTGGCACCGTGGAAGGCCCACTGCGCCTTCCACTCAACCTTGAAGAAAAACCGAACCGCGGGCGGCCTCAGGGGTGAGCGACTCAACGGGCACGCCCTCCGCGTTGTCCGCGGGGGCCAACGTTTGGCCGCAAGTCCAATGCATGCAAAGCGGCGGCAACCTTGCGCCGAGCATGCCCCGGGCCCCCTCGTCGAGCACGTCGCGCGCCCCGCGCCCCGCGCATGGCGAGGAGCTTGCGGCGCCGACGACGTCGGACGGTGACTTCATCGATGACCCCGATGCTTGCTGAGACTCAACGGCGGCTCGGCAAGGCACGGGCCCGCCCGACGCGCAATGCGCTTCGCATCCCGTGCTCGCCGCGCCTGCTCCCTTGTCGTCATCGTCCGCGACGAAGACCAGTGGTTCCTGGGTCTCGGTCTTCACGTTCGCTGCGGAGACAAACTTCCGCAGCCCCCGCTGCTGCGCGGGCGCCGGGGCGGCCTGTTTTGCCCTGGCCCCCAACCGCGCCGGCCCCCCCGGGGCTCGAGCCAAACGGCCGCGGCGCGAACGCAGCTCGCCCAGACGCATTTTCGGGGGCACCAGCGACCCGACGGGCTGGGTGGGGAGGGGGGCAGGTGGATGGCCAATTCGCGATGTTTCTGCTGGTCGTTCGCGGCCCCGCCGCCCACTCAGCCCGAGGCCCCCCAGGGGGTGGAGGGGTTCATTCTCTTGGCCCGCGAATGCAAACAACGCGAGACGCAACTAAATGGTCCCCCGCGCCACAGTCAGCGCCTAGTACCGGACCTCCAGGGCGGGGGCGCAATGCGCATGCTGGCGCGCGCCATCTACTGCGGAATGGAAAAGCCAAGCCGCCGACGTTAGCCAGCTGGCCGCAACGCTCATAAGCGAGACTGCGCTCGAATGATGCACCCGCTGCCCCGCATCAGGCTTGTTCGAGCTCGAGCTGCGGCTGCGAGGTCAATCAATCATGTTGCCGTTGAAGGCGCCGCGCTGGGGACAGTGGCGGTCGGCGTCGGCGGCGCCGCGATTGGCGGCGGCGTGGCCTTGCATGTCGCGGGCCAATCAGCAGCCGAAGCACCGAAAACCATTCCATTCACATTGAAATGCCACGGGAACTGCCGCCGCAACCAACGAGCCAGCGGGCGCCAGTCGGCAGCGCGCCAGGGCGCCGGGGCCGAGGCCAGCCCAGGACGCCGCCAGCCCTCGACGGCGGCGCCGGCCAGTGACCTTGCGGCGGCGGCTGGCAAAACGCACAGGTCATCAGTGGCGCAATGCCTTTTGGGGGCGGCGGGCAGAACGAGAAGGGCACTGGCGGGTCACCGGCGGCGGCGGCGGTCGGTGACCGCGCGGGGTCCAGGAGGCGGCGGCAGAGGCAGCCAGGCGAGACCGCGGGGCGCGCAGGGCGTGCAGGTGGACAGCAACGCGGCGTTTCTTTGCAGCTGGGTCCTCCTCGCAGCTGACCGGGCCTCTCGGGCGCCCCAGCCTCGCGCGTGCCATCGGAACCATTGGTTTGCCCCCCGCCGCCAAATCCCGGAGGCGGCGTCGCCCCCGGTAGCCAACCTGGGCGCGGATGGCGAGGATGGGCCCGCATCCCCCAAAACTCGCGGACCCTCGGCCCCAGCGGGCGCGGGGGCGACAAGTTCGCCGCCGCGCCTCGGACCAGGGCGAAAACCGGAGCCAAATAACTGGCGGCCGGACAGCTCGCCGGACTCAGCGAGCAAGCCGCTGAACGTGTAGATGCTGCGCTGGTGCAGGTACTGGGTGCCGAAGGCTTCTCCTCCTCCTCCTCCGGCGGCGGCCCCCTCCCTGGGCCTAGTCAGCGGCCAGCGCCTTTGCCCGCGGGCGGCCGCCATTCGCGCGGGCGCCAGGCAGCCAGACAAGAATCGTCGATGCCCCCGACGAGGACACCAGCACCACTCTGAGATGCCTGCGATTAGGGGGGGGCCGAGTGCCGCTCGGCGCAGCCGCCCTCTTTGCAGTTCCAAGCGCAGCGCACGGCGACGCCTGTGCCGCCCCGCCTGCTCTTGACCTTCTCCCTGTACTTATCGGCCTGGCAAGCGTTCTTGTTCGAAAGATCAGGCTCGGCGCGGGCCGAGGGCGGCCGCTTGCCCGTCGGCGGCGACGCTGGCCCCGCGCCCTTGCCCCGCTGCGCCGTGCCCGGCGGCGGCGCCGGCGGCGAGTCCTGCGACGCCGCCTCGACGGCCGCCGCGGGCCACTCCTGCCAGCGAGTTGGAGGTCAGGCACGGGAGCTCGAACGGATGACGGCCTGCCAAGGTCGCTTGGGGCCCCAATCCTCTGGAGGCTTGCCGTTCTGGAGAGCTCGCTCCATCTTCGCCCGTGGCTGGTCCCACCGCTCTTCCATGTTGTGGGGCACCACAACGTAGATGGCCCCACAATCCTTCGGGAACATCGCAAGCTGTCGGGCCCTTTCCAGGCTCGCCTTCGCGAAGTCGAGCTTCCAGGCGGCGGTCCGGAACACCTGCCATGACTTGCGGAAGCCCTCGAAATCAGGGGGGCACAACATCTTCCGTTTGACGTACTCTCCGTTGACGAAGACGTCGGAATTGAAGTAGGGTGCTTATGGGTGCGCTTGCCGAAATGTTCCCACGCGGCGCATTCCAACCAAAGGGCCTCGCCCGATGCAAGCTTCGCCGCCAGGGCGGAGAGCTGGAGGGTACTGCAATATTTGTAGTTTCCGGGTGTTCCTCACTTGTCCTCATAGGCCTCGCGCGCAGTCCGGACCTTCTCGGGAGAGAGTTCCTGGAACGTGGTCCGGCGGCCTTTGCTCGATGACGGTGGAAAACTCGTGCGTCGTGGGCGCGACCACAACCTGAGCGGCGCCTGCTGGTGGGCTGGCGGCACCGCTGGCGGTGCCTTAACGGCTGGGGCAGAACCTCCTCAAGGCTGCGGGGTCTGCCCGGCGAGCTCCGCCAGGCGTTGCAAGCCCTTACGCACGTGGTCGCGCTGCGAAGGCGGAAAGAAGAGGCGGAAAAAAATCTGACATCGCCTTCGTCGGTGACAGCGCTGCAGGTGCGCATCGCCGCAACGAGGTCCTCGTCGAACATGTCGGAGACTTCACCCAAAGTGACCTCCTCCCAGTCGCCCCCGATCTCTTGGACGAAGCCTCTGAACATCGACCCGTCCATGCCGAGGCTCCGAACGGCGGTGGCGGGGTCGAGGCTCGGAGCAAGGGGTGATGAGGATCCCCCGGAGGCCGACAAGAGGATCCCTGCCGCGCTTCCCCCGGGGCCTCAGTTTCCCGAGACTCCAGGTGTTCCCCCGTGTCCTCCATCGGCTGCGTGGGCGGCAGCTGCCAGCGCCTCGACGGCCTCCATCGCTGGGTGGACCAACGCCATGCCCACCCTAGATTTGTGATGCTGCAGGGCCTCCAGCCAAATGGCGACGGAGGGCGAGGCTGCAGCACAATTCTGCCTCCGACCGTTCCCCCGCGCCCCTTTGAAACACGACCTACGGTACAATACCGCCTTCGGTGAAGCTCTCAATGGGGCCACAAAACGTGTGAGGGGTGTGCCGAGTCGGGTGCGGATACGACATGCGGGCCATGCCGCTAAAGTTTCGGTAGAGCTCCTTGTTGCTGCACGAACCGTGTGAGGAGTGTGCCGAATCGGGTGCGGGTACGCCATGCGGACCCTGCCATCAAAGTGGTTGACATGCGGAGGGCAGAGGC